TTAGAGTTAATAATAATGCCCCTTCGGCCATTAAACATAATTTATATATATGTCCTTTATTTTTATTTTTTTCACACAACATAATCAATATATTTTTACAGAAGCCTGTGGTCCCTTTGGTTATCCACACGCTCATCACCCCAAATTCATAGGCATGGAAGAGAAATATACAACAAACATCAACACACACTGACACACACAGAGTTGTCTAATTTATACAATCACCATAATTAACAGAACATACGTGCCTTGGGATTTCCCTTTTGGGCACGCACGTAGTTATGGTATCACACCATGCATCATGCAACAACGCGCTTTCGAGAAGTGAAATGAGAGGCCGGAGATCGAACTGATCCGGCGGAAGATGCAACAACTCTTTTGGTGGTAGAGGCAGATGATGCAGAGGAGGAGAAGCCACAGTCTGATCGAAATAGTTGACTGTCCGGCTTTTGGAATCGTCCCGAATCACCGGGAAGTCTCATGTACGAAGATGAAGGTGACTCACTGAGCCATGACCCTATCAACCCTTGTCCTCCATTTCTGTGCTGCACTATGGCTCGATACACAAATGGAATAAGACCCTCCATTAATTACACTCTATTTGTTATAGAGAGAGAGAGAGAGAGAGAGAGAGAGAGAGAGAGAGATGTTATGTGGACTTGTGTCTCTATGTTGAATTGGAAAAGGGTTTAAAAGAGAGAGAGGGGGTGGTGATGATGACGTGGCGTAATGGGTTAGAGTCCAGCTGTACGTTCACGCTAGCCCACGGATATATTGTGGGGAAGACTTCAACGCAACCCCGCACGAAGACTTTGAAAGCTCAATCCGAACTAAAGCCACCTTCATTATATATATCTCACCAAATCATACTACAATACTATTTTCTTAATTATATTTTGTATGTATCTCTGTGTGTGTATTATATATATATATAGTTATATATAATATAGTATACATACATGACAGCATTTTCATTTTTTTTCCTTGTTGCTAGGTTCATGAGTGGCCGGTTTGATTAAAATCTCATCTTGATCTAATGTATGTCGGTGCATGTATAAAAGATCCATGCATGTTCTTGTATTCATTAAGTACACATCGTGTAAGCAAGTAATAAAAAACTAAGACATTCTATGACAAAATATGGTTGGTTACTCTAAGTTGTAATTAGATTTCATATTGTCTTCTAATTAATTTGAATGGGCATAGTAGGTGTTTTGTTTGAGAGTGCTGAATTGATCTTTTAAATTTGAAATTAAAAAAAATTTAGGTCAAAATTTTAATTATTGGTTGTGTTTGTTTAGAAGTAATATATATATATATATATATATATATATATATTTCAGTGTTTAACAAAGATTTAGATTGAGATCGAATCCAATAGACGGGTCGGCTGAGTGTGTAAAATAACTTATCGAAAATTAATAATTGATTAATAAGTTATTGTTGTTAGATTTTATTTTATTTTATTTTTCGTAAATGTTTTACGACTACCAAAATAATCAAACATAGAAAATAAATTAATATTTTTTAAAAAATATTTTACAAACAAACAGAGCTTAAATTTTCTTCAATGTCAAATCAAAATCGTGGATTCAATACTCCCAAGCATAGCATCAAAACCATCACAATTCCAAATTATTTGTCCCATATCTTGTAGGATCTTAAGATAATGTACTTGGTTTGATTTGCTTGGGACAGCTGAGCTACAGCTTCTAAAATAAATATGATATTCTATCATGCAAATTAAGTTAGAGCTATCCCTTGGCTGAAACTTACAAGAGACATTACATTAACAGCTTCAAAAAGGAAATTTTTGAGATGGTGAGCTGCCACCAAATGCCTTATCCAAGATGAAAATTTTCTTCCTTTTTTTTTTCCTTACAATAAATTATTCAGCTTATTTTAAATCTTGATGCTTGTGGCATACTATTGAATTCATTTGGACCTATTGATATCATTAGGTATTGTGAGGCCATCATCAAACTGTGCTATCACTCAATCAGCATATCTTACCACCATTTTTGGTATATAACAGAACTTATCCAATTCAGTCTCTTATAGTAAGGCTTCTTATATTGAGAAGTCTTGAATTTACAGCAACATGGATTAAGAAAAATTAATCAAGAATAAAAAGAAAAACCAGAAGTTAAGACCAAAGAATGTCCAAAAAAAACTTCAAGGATCAATCATTTAATGTTTCTTCTAATCAGGGACGGATCCAGGAAATCGTGGGAGGGGAGGCAAAAGTGAATTTAATGTAATTTTTTTGTAATTTTAGAATGGGGCAAACTGAAAATTTTATAGGTATATAATTGAAAATTAAAAAATTAGTGGTATATAACAGTAAAAAAAATAAAAATTAAAGTGCCTCTGTCCCTGCTTCTAAAGTCAACATCCGACTGCTCAATCTTAGCTGTAATTCAGAATACATAGATTAGAGAAAGAATGTTTCATTTATATATATCGAATTTGATCACATAAATATTAGGCTAAAGCATGATGAAGCTTGACACAATCCGCGTACCTAAATTTTGAATTTTTGAATGTGACCAAACTGTTTAATTAAGAAATGTAGGCCTGCAAATTATGCTTTGCTTGCTTCGTTAGGACACCCACTCCAATATTGTCTTCATCATAATTCATGGGTGAAGTCATAGGTTGCATCATGGCATTATCAAACGGTTTGAAATCCGTTTGATGAATGTCCCTTTCTGAATCCATTAAAGCTTTTTAGCTTCAAAGCAGAGATCAATGACTCCCAATTCCTAAGCAAAAGCAAAAAATGTGTGCGCATTATTTGTTTTTGGTGTTAGGTGAAGAAAGGGAGAGGGGCATGGTGTCACACAGTATAGTATTATTTTCGGTATTGAAAATTAAGCGCAGGCACAATAAGATAAATGCGAAAGATCCATCACCATATATACAAAAATGGTTAGTGTCACATTCAAAACCAAAGGTACTATTTACCTACCCCTTCCAATATACTACTGCACCCTAAGGCTGACCTCAGGGTTTTTGTTTTTCTGCTCTGTCTAAGCTCCAAACTTCCAATAAAATACTACATTATTAACAGTTCCGCAAATCATGCTAATTATTAAATTTAATTTTTATTGTGCTACTTAATCTTTACATATGTAAGTTGCACTTTGAATCCAAAATGTTTAGACCAGTGAATTTTTTTTTTTTTTTTTGGTGTTTAGACCAACGAGAGGCAGAATTGTTAAGATCAATACATGCTCTGGTTCAAACAAGGTGTTGTTAGGACATGGGCCCATGCCCCTCACTCAGTGTCACCCGTGTAGCTGGCTGATCCATAATACTCTATCTAGTTTTTTTTGAAAACTGTGACTTATAAAATAGTAGTCTTTTTATTTATAGGCCACCTTTCAATTTCAACTACGAGGATGGGCAACCACGTACCACTTAGGCTATGTTTGGTACGGTGGGTTTGAAGGGGGAGGATAACATTAGTTACGACGGAAAGGGAAGAGAAGGATAAGTTTAATCCTCAATCGTGTTTGGTTGATTAATGAAGGAAAAGAAAGAGAAGGATAACAATCATGTTTGGGAAAAGAAAAGAAAGGGAAAGATAATAATAAATTTACTATTATGCCCTTTTATATTTTAAAAGATGAATTTTGAGATTTAAATATGCAACAATATTTTTGCCCCAAGAGGAGCCGGCTCAAGTAAAAGTGGAGGAGGCTCCAATATGAATGGAGCCGGCTCAAGTAAAAGTGGAGGAGGCTCTACTTTAAGTAAAGGAGGCTCCAATATGAGTAGAGCAGGCTCCCAAAAATGGGAGGCGGCTCCTTTCAAGAAAAATTGTTCTGGGAACCAATTTTAGCTACTGGAATGAAGATCAAGTGTGTGTTTTTTTTTCCTTTCAGTTTCCATCGCTGTTCCAGTTCGGGTTCGCCGTCGCCATCCGCCTCAAAAAATCAAAACCCACATCTTTTAGTTTCCATCGCTATTCCAGTTCGGGTTTGCCGTCCGCCTCAAAAAATCAAAACCCACATCTTTCAATTTCCATCGTTGTTCCAGTTTGGGTTCGCCGTCCGCTGTTCGCAAGCTTTCCGCGCTGAATACATGTTCAATATCAAGTGCAATTTTGAGGGTAAAAGTGGCATGACAAATATTATATGAGCCATTGCCTTCCCTTTCCTTCCTTATCCTCCCATTTTTGGAAGGTTAAAGAAATTACTGTACATTGTTACGAAGAACCCATCCAAACCCTTCCCTCTCCTTCCCTTTCCCTCCACTCACCTTACCCAAACACAATTTTTTTATAACCCTCCATCACATTCCCTTCCTTTTCCCTTCAAACCCACTCTACCAAACTGAGCCTTATAGATCTCAACCAACTTACTATATCATATCCTATCCATTGACATGAACACCCCGCGGTAAAAAGGATCCTGCAAATCTTAAAGTCAGAGAATTTTTTGCAAAAATACATCTCAAAGTACTCTCTCCGTCTCAAATTAAAAGTTCCTATTAGAAACAGTGACTCACAAAATAATAGCCTTTTTATTAGGCCACCTTACAATTTCAACTACGACGAGGATGGGCAACCACCACCTATCGATCTCAACCGACCTACTATATTGTATCCTATCCATCGAGCATGAACACCCGCAGTAAAAAGCATCCTGCGAATCTTAAAGTCAAGGGAATTTTATGCAAAAATTCATCTAAAAGTAGAAAAAAATTGTAAGTCACAGCTTCCAAATAGGGCTTTTAATTTGAGACGGGAGAAGTAATCTTATTGAATTTGTTTGGCCGTCAGACTCTTGCTCATTTGAAAATTAGCAAATGAAGCTTGGGCTTTGTTAAAAGGTATTATGAACCGAGCAATATAGGATGGGTTGGGTTTAGACTGTGAACTGTTGCGGTTTACTTTGGGCCTCCGCCCGAAGTTGTAGTAAAGTGTTTGGTTTGGAGTTTGGTTCAATATCGGCTGGGCTCAGCCAGCCCAAAGTAGAAAAGCATTCCAACGCTCCTCCTTCTCTCACTCGAGATTCATCACCCACAAAACCCTAGTTTTTGCTTCCAATGCATTGCGCATAAATAGCGCCACCAATGAGCTTTTACAGGTACCCCAATTTCTTTAAATTTCGTCAATATAAGCGCATGTTTGTGTGTATATACTATATATATATGTCTATTTCATTTTAGATGTGCTAATTAGACTAACATCCAAAATTTTTCGTAAGAGTTTGTTATTTCGAGGTCAATTGAGGTATACAAGGTCATAATCTCACAGAGTTTGCAGTGGATGTTCTCTAATTATGTTCAAATATGTGAATTTCGATAAAGATTGAAGTTTTAGAATCATGTTTATAATGCTGAATAATGCTAAAAGAGAAGAAATAAGCAAACCAAAGAATAGAAATGAACAGAGATGATGATTGATGACTTACCTGGTTTACATAACATTTCTGTTCACCCCCACATTATGTTCATATTTTGAATTGTGACAGGAGATAAGTGGAAGTCTATAATTTTATTAGTTCCACCTTAAGCAAAATTCATTCATACAGCAATTGAATATAATAACACTTTCTTTGGACACAAATTTGGTGAAACAATGGTTGTTTGTTTAATTCTATCTGGATAGAGTAGGGAAAGAGAGTTTATATAACTGAGGTAATGAATATTATTTTTTGTATACCTTGCATTACTTATTTACTCTATTTTAATGAGCCGGTGGACATCTTAAATAAAAAATGCTCATGGGAATTGTGAAGTTGACTTCCAGAGCTAAATATTCGTTCCAAAAGTTAAAGTAGGGCATATTGAATCCATAACATATAGGAATTTAGGAAAAGAAAACTAACAAAGTCCCCCTTGCCAATTCTTGCTTTTTAAATTCTGCAGAAAATAGTTCAGAAATTAAACTAGTTGGGACATTCATTATTTGAAACATTATTGTCTCAACTGTGACAATACTATTTGTAAGTTGTAGCACATAGTTCCCTAAAGTGTGCATGTGAAAAGGTAAACTGGCAAAGTCCATGAATCATGAGAAGAAAAAGGGGAATAAATTTTTTTCAACCGCTCACTCAAAAGAACTTAAGAAGCAAGACATCCCCCTATGTTGTGCTCTCTTCTTTTTACCTTTGTTTTTTGTAGGTTGCTTTATTTTCTTGGTCAAATGATTATATTTTTCGTACTTGAAGCATGTACAACCCTTGAACTCAACCTTACTCTTTTTAAACTGAACATGAACTCAAACGTAGTTATTCCTTATGAATGTGAGGACACTAGAATTTTTGGTAAGCTTGTGTTAGGACAACTTCCTGACCACCTTGATGAGAAGCAAGACATCCCCCTACGTTGTAGTCTCTTCTTTTTACCTTTATTTTTTGTAGGTTGCTTTATTTTCTTGGTCAAAATGATTATATTTTTCGTACTTGAAGCATATACAACCCTTGAATTCAACCATAAACTGAACATGAACTCAAACGTAGTTATTCCTTATGAATGTGAGGACACTAGAATTTTTGGTAAGCTTGTGTTAGGACAACTTCCTGACCGCCTTGATGGAGTTTTGGAACTAATTTTCTTTGTAGGAACCCTCTTGTTTGCATTTTACTTGGCCTGAAACTGTGAAAGTTGCCATCTGTATGTGAATAGCTGCTATCTCACTTAATATCACATAGAAAGCTACTTATCAAAAAAAAATATCACATAGAAAGCTAATCCACTTTTATGCCCTTTTTATTTGTTTATTCTCTCTTTTTTAAAAGTTGGTGTTTGATGGCCTCTCTCTCTCTCTTTCTTGTTTCTACTACTGTTTTGTAGCTTTCTTTTGTCCTTTGAAACCTACTGTTTATTCTTTCTACACTTCACAAATTAGTAATTCAGAAAAGCATCTCATGCAAGATCAGTGTCTATCTTCAATTGTAAGCCTACTCTAATTTCTCACAATGGGGTCTCAAAACCTTGAGATAGGCAGGTGCCTTTTGTGACGCTCATTCGGGCATTATGGGGCCTGAATACCTTGAGATGCTTTTTTCCTCTAGGTTCTAACTACACTACCCTATAATGAACACTCTAATTGGTAGTTTGGTGTTAATCCGTCTATACTTTCTTTATTAAACAGGTTTTATTGGTTTTTCTTTAAATCCTTCGGTGGGTAGTGGATATTAGAAATCAACATTTACATGAACCATTGGATCCATGACCATTGTTGTATCCTCGCACTCAAATGAGAATGCAGATAATGCAAAAGGTCTAACAGTCAATATTTCTGTACAAAGTGTGACACGCATTTGAGTTTGAAGACAACCACTTTGTGTGAATAATTTTGGAGAATGAATCTATTACCTGTCTACTCCTTCAGCACCCTCCATTGATAGGACCAACATGGGGTTAAATATATGACAAATGTTTTTATACCTTATTTGCCCTTACTGTATAAGAAGAGTGCCAAATTTAAGGGCTTCCGGGTTCCTATTGCCTATTGGTTGATCCTCTGGTGTTCCAACAAATAGTATATTGAATGATGATGTGGACCTTGGGGTCCAGTTTTAGGGCATTTGGGTTCATAATTGGCAAGAATTCTACTTATGTTCACAATTTTACCCTAGGCTTTTTAAGCTAAAACAAAATTTAGCAATCTCATGTTGTCTCTGAAATTCATGAGAAACACAGCAACAAAACGAAATAGTTCCTATTCCAATATTGCTTAAATTATTAATTTATTAACTTTAGCTAAAATAAAACCACGAGTAGAATTTGAGAAGGAAAAAACAAGAAGAAAAAAGATAAGTTCTGCAAATGATTTGATAGGATTTCCTTGGTTACCAAAGCGTACACATATTATATCTGAATTGTGTACCTTTTTTTCTTTTAAATAACAAACTAGTTATTGTTCCCTGATGGGAAGGGAATTACGCACATTTGACTGAAATACCCTTACTTATAAGGTATTATGCTGTGAGGACAGATTCAATATATAACTAGTTTAAGAAAATTGTATCCCTACTGGTTGCAATATTGCAGTCACATCTTAGAGCTAGGCTTGCAATAGAGAAACTGTATTGTCATTACATTTGCTATGATAATGTTGCTGGTTGCACTATAGTGTTGTCTTAAAGCTAGTCCTGGAATAGAAGAACTACATGGTGTAGAAATGTAGAACAAGCCGGGGCCTATAGTTTACCCTTATACCAGTACCCTTAGTTAAAGTTCCTGGACCATCCAATATATTGGTTGCCTATGCATATGAATTGACTTCATTTATTTGCAGTTTGAGATTCTTGTGTGTCGGTAGGCAGCTCTGCTGATCATTTACCCCTTTTCTTCTCATTGGCATTGGACAGGTTGGGATTGATGAGCATAACACATGTAGTGGTATTGATGATTTTTCTTGCCAAAAAGGCATTGACGGTATTTTGAGATGGTGACTCATCTGCAGGAATGCACGCGTGCTGCTCTTTCCCCTTCTATTAGGTAAGCATTTGTCTCACTTGTAATGCAATAAATTTTGTTTTCTTATCTGAGTAACATGTCCATTTGGTGCGTGGAGGCTCTAATCTTCTCTCTTTTTTCCATATGGTCCCAATAGAATATGCATACAGCTTTTTTGTAGGGAGAAAAGATGATTAAGTGCAAAAGCTGGCTGATAGAAATGATGGAAAGGGTAGGTTAGCAAGGTATACCAACAATTGCATGGTATTTTCTTGATTTTATAAGATCAAGAGGGTAAACATCTATCCAACAAGAAAATGGATGAACTAGTCTGCACTAACTTCTGTTTTTTACTGTTCTTTCAGATCAAAATTTATGAGATTTAACCTTGTTTTATCGTCACATGTTTGGATTTAGCTCGAAAAAGTTCAGTGATTAGACATTTTTTTGATTGTTTATGCATTTTTTTTTCTTTCGTTTTTTACTCCAATTATGCGATCTCAGCAAAACAATCCGTAGACTAACAAGTTACTTAATTGGCAATTGTGGGTTATATAGCTCTCTAATGTTTCACATCATATGCTTCAGATGTCGCTATGGTGATCATAATTTAGTATGAGTTGGGCCTTTGCTAAGGACCACTTTTAACAAATCAAACTTTGATTCACAATTTCGTTTCAGTGTCCTTTTAAAGTTTACCAGCATGGGCCATTTTGCAGCCCGTTTCGGAGGTGCATGGTTATTGAAGCCAATGGGGCGGGTCATTCCTATCGCAAACCCTCCCCCGTAAGGAAAACCAAATTTTAGATTCGTCCCATTCCGCCCCCGCATCAGAGTATTCGAATCAGCCTCATATATGCATAAAAAATATAACCTGATTAAATTTACGATAATTTCTTTAAAAAATATTTATAATCAAATATTTAACATTATAGTCATGGATTTTGATTTATTTGTTGATGATAAAATTTTAGGTTATCATTAAAAAAAAAAAAAAGACAATGGAAGAAAAAGGTTCTAGTTGATAATATAACATAACATGAACTCATGTATTTTTATTGCAAGTGGCGGCTTCTGATTTTGGACTTTTTTTTCAAATTTATCTTAACCCGGTTAGAAAGTAGCAATATCCGTTTTATTGGTGGTGAGATTTCATTGACGATATGGAGTCAAGATGTGGAAAAATTACTAACATGATTTTCTCTCAATCACTAGTAATATGCAAATAAATGTGTAAATTTTATTTCGGTGTTTTATTTACGTGCCAAATCTATATTTTGACAGGTGTTACAGTGTCAAAATGTTACATTTTAGTAATTCTGTTCCAATGGTGTATTTAATGCAAAATGCTATTTTTTGACACAACAACCATTCTTTTTCAATTACCATTCCCACCATTCATATTTGCATCAGTAATATTAATATTAGGCACATTCCAAGTCAAGTTGTAGACATTAGAAGGAAACTAAAATTAAACCTAATTAAAAAGAAACAAAAATTTAAAATATTTGGTCAAAAAAGGACCAATATATATATATATTTGATTATATTGTTATATAATTTTTTTTTTTCGAAAATTCATATATATTATATATATATATATGTATATTATATATATTTGAGTTTATTATTATTAAAAATATATATATTTTTAGGGCAAATCATTTCGGCCTACCCAATCGCCTCCATCTCTATTCTCGTTCTCAACTTTGAACTCCCTCTTTCACCAACAGGCCTGTAACCTAGCGGTATGAGGCTCCTACTTTTCAAAGGGAGGTCAAGAGTTCGAACATCAGTGGAGGCAGTGTGTGTGAGTCCCAATTAGGAAAAAAAAACTCCCCCTTTCTCTCTATCTCTCTCTCTCTCTGCAATTGCAAACTAGAAAATCTACAAGAATTAGAAGTTGAAAACCTATATATTTCAGTTTATCTATCTATCCGCAAGAATCAAAAGATCAAAACTTGGCATATCATTTCAGATTGTTCAAAAAACCATATCTTTCAGTTTACATCGCCTGCTGTTCCAGTTCGAGTTCGCGGTTCGCAAGCTCTCTCTCTCTCTCTCTCTCTCTCTCTCTCTCTCTGCAACTGCTAAATTGTATGTATGGGTTTTGTTTTAATTTTTTTTTTCTAAATTAACTAATCAAGGTTTGTAATTCTTGTTTTGCAAATTAAATCCTATTTGGTGAAATTTGGCAGCTCTTATATTTAAGAGAAATTTTAAATTTTTAAATTTTGAGAAGTCAAAGTGATTTTTTTTAATCATCTCTCAAATTATGAGTTTGAGAGCCCAAAATGAAAAAGCATCGGAGATGCTCTAACAAGGGTAAGAAAAGCTGCAAAACAGTCCTTAAAACGCCTACGTATGACACTGTATTGTTGTTGTCTTGGTCTTGGGGTAATTCTTTTACTTGGCTTCAGTTGCACTCCAGTTCGTATATGTGTCCTATTAAAGACTAAAGAGTGGTCCCCATCCGTACACTACATGTATGATACCATGTCTCACTCACTTTAACTGGTCCCCAACAACTTTCAACAACCCCAATATTGAGCAATCCTGGTTTGATGTTTGGTCCAGCCTATTCATGTCTATAATCGCAACCCCTTTCTCAAAGCTTAACCATAATTGTATTAGAGTCAGGCTTGTATGTATTGAGGTGTTAGTAATCCCAATTAGGTTGAAGGTAAGGCTAGCTTGAAAGGTTTTAGTTTATTTCCCCGTCTAATATAGCATAATATCGCATAATATCACATGGATTGGATATAAATGGCAAATGAATTGGATACGAATAGATTGGGTGTTAATTAAATTTTTAGATCTGCACGTGAAACAGCTGTCCATCCCGAGAGCTCCGCGTCAACATCCCGGTAGATATCAGTGGCTAAAAATAAGAAATTCTTAATTACCTATGTTTATTAATCAACCTAAGCCAATGCCTGGCTTACGTTTGGAAAGTGGAAACTGCTTAATAATTTAAGAGCTTGACCTTTTTTTGTTCCCTTATTTAATTTTTTGTTAGGTCATCAAACTTAACTTCATTATATTTGTGAATAGTCAAGTGTTGACCCCGATATTTGCATACATAATTATTTGGTGAACTTATTTGGAACAAACAAAGGTAAAAATAAAAAAATAAATAAAAAATAAAAAACCACTAATACCAGTCATCCCTCTCATTCGGGTTTAACCCGTATGGTTTAATCTTTAAAGTAATAGTTGAGAAAAAGAAGTAAAAACAAAAAAGTGATGGTTGTGCAGAGACAGTGAGTGAAGTAGGCCTCTCTCACGTCGGATCAGTTGGCCGCCGGACAAACATTCACCAAATTCTCTCTTTATGTTGTCGCCCTGATTTTTATAGATCTCTGACACGTTGAAGTAATAAATAAGAGTGGGCCTATTTGGTCTCATATCGAACGTCTGGAATGACTGCGGATATGCCCGGGGTATTTTAAAATTTTCCTTTAAATGGATCCTATTATCGGTTGAATCTGGATCGCCTATCGTGAAAGAGATCTATCCCATGCTTTGGTGTGTAAATGATTAGTGTAACACACTGCATCTTAGTATAATATATATATATATATATATAAATTATTATTATTATTGTATAAATGATTGAAATTATCGTCATAAATACATAAATAATGTAATAGAACGACGTGACATAAGCTAGTTTCTACCTTGATGTCCTTAAAGTTTTCCTTTTACTTTTTCTTTATCTTTAATTTAAGCATCCTTTGGTTATATAGAAATCAATAAAGAAAGTGAAGAGACAATTAGGAGGGGAAAAAAAAAAAAAAAAAGGGTGAAGAGAATGAGAGGAGAATACATATTTGAGCTTTCATTTGGTTAGCAATTTTATTTTTGTTGTTGTTATTTGTTAAAAAAATTGCGAGAAAATCTCATTTTTATAGTTTAGATAACATGAAAGTTAATAAAAAATATTATGATATACCTAAATTATCCATATATTTATTAAATATATGAACGGTTTAAATAAATTTATACTTAATAATTTTAGAAAAATAAAAAAATAAAATATATAAGTATCTAAAAAAAAAATTTGAAAAACTTAGAGAGAGATATAAACTACAATACTATTCTTATCAAAAGTTATGCATAACTATCTTGTAAAAAAGGGGGTATAATTGAATGTTTATACATTTTTGTCAAGAAAATAAAATTTTCGATGTGTTTTCTTTAAAATGTTTTATGAGAAATTTAATTGGTTATGAAAAGTTACTTTTTCTACCATCCAAAAACTTAGAAAGTGCAAAAGAATTTCATTTCTATTCTTTTCTTGTTATTTTCACTTAACCAAACAGCCTAAATGAAGAGCATATATGGGGATGGCAATTTCCTCTGATTTGGTAGCCCCCTAGATGGGTTTGTGGCGGAAACGGGTTTGAGGCAATGGTGGATTTAGTGATGAACCCACCCCACCCCCACTTCGATTATATATTTATCTATATATATATATAATTTTTAAGACTCATGTTATTTTGCTGAAAGTGTAAGTAATATATTAGTATTCACTACTTAGTAATTTTAAAGTTGTGCTAGCTTATTTATCAGTCCAATTTGAGCACATTGGACTAAGTCACATAGAGCCGGAGCGGGTGAGGGAGTGGGAGCTAAAACGAGAGTGTGAAATCGTCGAAATCTAAAAATTTTGAGAACAAAAACGTCTGTATATTATGTTTAAATAAAATTATATCAGGTCATGAAATATATATTTTATATATTTTTATTTATTTAAATCCATATGCAAATATATTTATGATTATTTATTTCATTAATTATATATGTAATAAATAAGTTTAACTTTTTTCACTAATAGATGTATGATTTATTTATAATATTCTCTGATTGAAAAGTTTTTTAGCAGTATATTTTCAAACATGTATAATTAATATATATATATTGAGTAATAGTGTAAGTAATATATTTTCAAACGTCATACAGCTGGAGCAAACTGAAATTTAAGTAATTAATGTATATATTGAGTAATAGTGTAAATAATAAATGCATATATGGTAATATAGGTATTCCAAATTACTGTGACTCTAACAAATTTAGTTATATAAAGTAAATTCATATGGAAATTGTGAATTAGGAAAACAAATTCGTGATTTGTAAAAATTGAATTCACGGATTTTGTGTGAATTCGCTCCCAAATCGTAAATTTGCACACGGAGCTTGAGAGTGTGACCTCTTTGGACGAATTGTGTGACTAAACATTGAACTAGTTTGTGTTTTTTTTTTTTTTTTTTTTTTTTTTTTTTTTTTTTAACATAATAAAAGTGGCAAAACTTGCCCCACAGTTATACTTACACGGGGCAGAATCGGTATTATGACTACCGGAGTAAAGCGAAGATGGTATACCAATTTAAAACTCGTTCCGGAATAGGGGCAAAGTTGATATAACGAATTTTTTAATGGGGTGGAGTAGAGTTTAGTCAAACTCGTCCCAAC